CCCCCCCCCCCCCCCCCCAACAAGACAGGGATTCCGTGTGAAACATCGGGGGTTCGTTGCTGTTTATCGACGTGTCGATACACATTGAAACCGAAATATCGAAGTATGGAGGAGACAAAATCCTTCGGTGCTCGATATCTGGATAAGTCCATGGTATGCATACGATATTCATAACTGCAGAATATGAGTTTGTGTGAACCCCCCGCGTTGGTGCTCATCCCGTTCATTCTGCACGTCTGTCCTGGCAGCCATCGGTGTCAATCCCCTGAAGCAATTTCTTTCCTTCCGTGATTTATTGCAATTGTCTGCCTTTTTTTTAGGTCGTGTTCGTTTTTTGATATTTTTTGCACTCCAATCTTCGAAAACGTCTAAGATATGCGTATCTCGTTCCTATTGTGTGGGTATGTCTTTCTCTGATGATACTTGATTTTTGTTTGGCATCGTTTACCGACGCTAACTTGATGTAATACTCCGTGAGTGGTCTGGTCTTCTCACTTTCGCCCGTTTTTTGCATTTTCTTTCTTTGCAACTCCGAGGTATTTGATAGACGACCGTTGCGCATGATACAAGCGGATACACGGATGGTTTCTCTTGCGTCGCTTTCATTATTGTGCATGTGTCATTTGCCTGTTGTCGTGCTTCATCGTGCACTGGCGAAAGCGAGAGTCTTTTCTCACGCTCACCTCCTCAGGGCACGCAGAGGTGCCGTCAGTACATTACCACGAACGTCCGAGGACCGCCAGCCATCCGTGGCGCTTGTGATTTTTATCCACAGTTGATAAACAAACTGGCTCTTTACCTGGGGGACGTGTTTCTCACGAAGAATGCATTCCCAAAACGAATCAAAAGCTGCGTATATAGCATATAGGATACCATCAAGATTGTCATTGGTTTGATTTCAAGTTGAAGAGGAGATATTTTTACGATGTAAATGACAGTAGAAATAAGTCCTACATATGTTGTTGTACTTCTTATTGGTTTAATATTCATGTAGAGTATGAGACATGAAGTGAAAGTTTTCTGAGGTACATCTGCAATTGTCGGAAGGCAAAAAAAAATAAAAATAAAAACTGCGTTGCTCAAAAGAAGAACTTTTGCTTTGATTCTTGGGCAACGCGCACATGTCTCACAGGCCATGCGCAACACGAATACAAAGAGCGAGTGATGAACGCAGCTGATGAAGGCAGTCGAACCTGCAGCAAAGATGTTGCTAGCCTAAAAGCACACACTCACGCATACGCGAAAAGACACGGAGAGAAACAACAAAATACCCCGCACATGATGTGAAGTTCCTGGCAAATTCTGCAGGTTGTACGCAAAACCGGCACTCACTACGGAACGTCATGACATTGAGATGCAACGATGGGAATGCGATGACATTGACCATGTCCTCCTGCGTCGCGCCCTTAAGGCAACCCATCTAACTCCACAGAGGAGTCTTGTACACATGTGTATCCCAACGCGGCCCTCTATTTTTTGGTTATTCCTCGATGTCGGCACTCACTCATTGGCCTACCTGGTTCTTCGTACGTTTGACTTGGTTGCATGCTCCCAAACGACGTTTGCAGGTTGTGCGCTTTCCCATGGTTTTGAACTTTCCCATGGTTTTGCTTGGACTGTACCGTCTCCAGCTGGAATTGTCGATAGTTCCGAGTTTTTGCATTCAATCGTTGATGTTCCCGGCAGTATGGCGTTGGAACGAGACCCAGGTCGTGGTAGTCGTATCCTACTACCGGGGGCTGACAGATTTCTTTTGAGATTTGGCAAAGAGGAGCTCTCGGGAGAGAGAGGGAGCGCAGCGGGGTCTTCACCGCTTTGTTGCGCCCCGAGTTCACACCCCGACCCGGAGTAGAAGAATACCGGCCATGGTGCATTAGCGCCAACAATATTCCATAGTTTGGTTGTAGCGTGACTGCCAAACGGTTGCCGCCGCATGCATCAGTGCAGGATATCTTGTCCCCGGTTGTATAATGGCTTCATCCGGTGCTTCAAATGTGTCCCATCCTGTTGGTTTTCTGGAAGCCTCGAACATGGCTTGAGCTGTGGTGTCAAATGAGGACGACGTCCAATGCTGTTCTAAGGAACCGGGAAGCCATCGTTCCGGTCTTGGCTAGACGAAAGAGATGATGCTCAACTTGGATAAATATTTCGGCAGTTGCTTAGTATTGTACCTGCAATACGTGTTTTGGGGAGGTGTTGATTGACATTATTTTGGAAACGTGAGACACATGTCCCGGACTGGGTCTGGAATAATCAGGGGATCCTCTCTGCCTCAAACGAGTGCGTGAAGAAAATTGTTGCGCAATAGATTTCAGGTCACCCTGCTTTTGTATCTACGTCGGCGATACTATTCTAGCCACATTATTCCGATAGAGGTAGGGTATCCTTGATTGAGCGTAGAGGTGTGCGAATGGGCACGCTGAACCCGAAAATACATTCCAGCGCATGTCACTATCATGTACGATTTCCGAATATTCCCACTTTCTTCGCCAAACGGATACACTCTCCACGTCGTGATCGACCACGCAGGTTCTGTCGATGTGGGAAGACACCTTCACCGGCTTGTTCAAGTTTCGCGCACGGTATCTGGTGTACGCATCCGACCTTCCCGAAGACGCTATTGCTCGCCTTGGCAAGGCTCGCCTCGCTTTTGAAGGGAAGGGAACTACTGGCAGCAACAGCGGCGTTAAGGTGGCTTCCGCCTCCAATTCAAGTACTCCGTTGTCCAAGCGAGACCAGAAAGCAGACGACGATGAAGTGTTCCTAACAAATACCATGGAGGACCTTGACGCGGTATTGATAGATAAGCCAATCACGCTCTGCGTGGGTATTCGCGACGATTCGCCCGCGGAATGGAAAAATAATTTAGGGCCACGGCTCACCCATTCATTCGATGCTAGTTCGGGTGATTTTACTCCTGTGGAGCGTACGGACGCCATAGCTAAGCGCGCGAGAATTCGGCTCGTGGAAGCTGTCGCGCGCGCGTCACGTCGCGCCGAAGAAGTCGCTGCCGCCGACAGCGGCCAGCCTGCGATGCAGAGCAGCGGTTGGCTGTTGCCGAAGCGAAGAACGAAAGGGCCTGCTGCAGCCAAGAGCAGCGCCGGCAAGCGTGGCAGCATCGCAGTTGCCGCGTCTGTGGGCGACACAATGTCGGACAGAGAATCCAGCGACGGCGAGCCATCACAAGGGGAAGCCCCGAAGTCCGATGACCAGGAGTGGGAAAACGACGACCAAGATAGCGACTACGCGAGCGACATCAGTAACTCCACCGACAGAGGGAACCATTCTGCACACGACCTGCCGGTGGGGAAGTCGAGCCGACGCAATAGATCACTCGGCCATGAGTATGACCAGGATATCGATCCGTCCTCTGACGACAAGATTCAGACGAGTCCTTCTTCACCTCCGCTTGGGTTATCTGCTGTAACCCCACCCATGCGCGAGACCCCACTGGTGCCTCAGAGGGATGTGGGGCACCAAAGACCTCTACCGAAACGACCGCGGCGTCTAGCCATGCCCCCCGTGGAAGGAATGCCAGCGCTCAGTGCAAGGCGTTCTGCAGAGCCCCTCGCCTCCTCCTCCACGGCTACCTCTCCGAAGACGGGCGGCCCAGTTCATAATGGAGCTGGAAGCACGGGAGCAACTCCTTCCTCGCAAACTCCGTCCGTGTCGCGTTGTTCGGCGGAAACCACATGGGATACAGGGAGGGCATTGGGGTCGAAGTACCGACTTTCGATCGCGGGAACGAGAACGAAGAGACGCTCTACCAAGGCTGCAGTAGACGGTGCGGATAAGTCGGACTGCGATCCGCGGCAAATTCTAGTCGGTGACGACTACCAAGCCGATATCCCAGCCCTATTGTCGGCACAAGAGAGGAAGAAAGAGGCCGGACATCCTGCTGCTGGGACAGGTGCCAAGATGGTGAGCTGCAGTGTGCCATCCCTGGAAGTGTTGTCTTGTTCGTGCACTTGTTAGGCAAGCGTTGTGTGTCGGCGATTTGGCGCCGAGCTTTTCGACTGAGGTATTCCAGACCACTTCGGTTTGGATTCTGCGTCCATGAGGCAGAAACGCAACAAGCCCATATCCCCTCGCCCGCATGCCCTCTTGTCGCGGGGGGACCCGATAAAGAGATAGATACCATACCACTAGCTCCAGTGCTCTGCATGCCGGAAATGTGTCCTCTGATGTACCTGCCAACGAGCGATCATCTAAAGAAAGAAACGTCGAGGAAACGACCATGAAATAAATTTCGGAGTACACGTAATGTACTCCGAGCTTGCTGCATGTAAGATAGATCCGTTTCATGCGGACAGCCCCTGTATGAACCCTCTGGCACGTTTTAGGACCGACCGGTAGACACAATGATATTTTGTTGTTGTCAATGATTGATCAAGTGACTTGCCTTTTGTTTTGGGCATCTTGTCATATTCAGTTTCGGGGACGTAATATATGTATGGACATGATGTACAATGTAATGTTTAGGGTGGTATTTATTGCTTTGGGTACTATTATTCTTCAGTGTTGGGGACGCAGTATATGGAGGGTTTTCTAATAATACTTGTGATGCCGCTCCCTCTGCATAGATTTTCTCTGGGTAGAACAACACGGGCTACGCGTAATTCGAACCCACTTCGGTTTGCCGCAGAGGAAGTCGCGCAACCGTTACCCTAGATAGCTCGTACTTGCATTGGGTATTCTAACCGTTCTTAATATGAGGAGTCGCAAATAAATACCAATAGAGACCGGCTGATTCTCGCCTGCTTTTTGTATTTTCTGGTCCGTCGAACGCACCACCAGTGGGCTCGGGCGCTGGCACATACATGCACGGCTGTTTTCACTACATTAAAATGAAGTGTGTTTTTCGTCTTTCCAGCGGCACAAGGGAACTTAGAGTCAAAGTCATTTGGACTTCACAACGTGCAGGACTTGAGTGGTAGGGGTACACAGGGACGCAATGCTGTGAGTAGTACAGAAAAAGGTACACAGCCGACGGCGTGGTGAGCGGTGAGGGTACACAGATACCGTGATTGTGCGTGTCATCGCATCCCCGTGTTAGCGTCCCCCCTGGTGTTTAACACCGGGGTTGGGTTGTCGCTTTGGAACGACGCTATAAAACAAGCCGCCCCAGGTGTTCCGCCCCCCCCGGTGGTTGCCGTCGGGGTTGGGTTTTCGTCGCTTGGCAACGACGTTTGTTGTTGTTGTTGTTGTCTTCACATAAAAAAACGCTTCGATCTCTCTCTACCCAGTACCTTCGTATGTCCGTTCTGATCCAACACTCGACGCGGTCGATTCCCGTGGTCGCAGGCTAACTTACCCTAGAAGGTACCGGTACACTCAAATAAAATGGCCCCGAGGGGTCCGCAAGTCAATATAAATCAATGACAGATATTCTGGAGTCCTCCACTCCCTCTGCGCGCTATGCGAGGTAACAACTGAGACTAGGGGTCACCATCACGGGCCGGAGATAATG